AAGGAGGGAAAGAAAGATGGAAGAAAACAGAGAAGGAAGGAAGGAAGGAAGGAAGGAAGGAAGGAAGGAAGGAAGGAAGGAAGGAAGGAAGGAAGGAAGGAAGGAAGGAAAGTTTCCAAGAATTTCCACAGTATCTTTTCAGCTCACACAGACAAGTTAATGCAGGCTGGGCTGTATCAACAGAGGGATAGCACTAAGATGATATGAAGTGTTAGTACAGGTGGTCCTTGACTTACAACAGTTCCTTTAGCAACGTTACAATGGAACTGAAAAAAAGTGAGTTAGGACTGTTTTTCACACTTATGACCATTGCAGCATCCCTGTGACCTCACGATCATGGAGATAAAAGCGAGCTGGTTGCCACGGGCCCAAAATGTTGTGACCATAGGGTTGTGTCTGTGTCTGTGTGTGTTCGTTTTGGGAGGGAACTTTAGAAAAAGGTAGTTTGTAACTGAAGCTTGTTGTAACTTCAAACAATCATTAAGCGACCGGTCGCTAAGTGAGGACTACCTGTACCCCTTACCAGCAAAGTCCACAATAACCAGTTTTAGAATTTTATAAGAGTCCTCAACTTACGACCACAACTGAGCCCAACATTGATGTTGTTCAGGGGAGAAATTTGTTCGCCGCCTTTTCAACCTTTCTCGCCGTCGTTAAGCGAATCCCTGCAGTTGTTAAATGAATAACCTGGTTGTTAAGTGAATCCGGCTTCCCCGTGGACCTGGGCTGGTCCGAAGGTCGCAATAAGGGGATCTCATGATCCCCGGGATGACTCTGCGACCGTCATAAGTACGAGTCACTGGCCAAGGGTCTGAATTTGGATCGTGTGACGGTGGGGGAGGCTGCAACGGTCGTAAGTGTGGGGGGAAAAACCCCAGTCCTGAGTCACTTTTTTTCAGTGACGTCGTAACTCCAAGCGGTCACTAAACGAATTGCTTTGTTAAACATATTGTGGGAATTCTTTTAAAAGACGATAAACAGACAGAATGTTTAAACTCTGCAATGTGGATGTTGATCTGAAGTTGATTCTAGAATTTGCTTTTTTTTTTAAATCAGAATCAAACCCAGGCAGGAACTAGCAATATATTTTTTTTCCATTTGAGGTTTCTGAAGAACTGAAAACAAAATAGTAACGGTTCTTTCTTTTTTTTTCCTTTTTTAAATTTCATATCTGATCGTACCTATCCAGTTATCAAGGTGGCTTGTTTGTGAGTAAGATGCTCCCTGCCAACTTCGTGACATTTGAGCAAAAGGCCGGCCAAATTTGCCATGCTGAATTTTAACTAAGGTTTCGTTTTTCTTTTTTTTCCCTGGCTGCGAACAGGGGGATCTTTTATAATATTTCGTTTGGCGGGGTTAAGAAATTCGGCTTTTGTGTGGGTTTGCTTTCTTTTTCCTCTGAGAGCCACTAAAAATCGCTTGGTTTTTTGGGGTCTGCTACTTAACGGTTCGAGAACTCGAATTTCAGAACAAGCTACATACCAGCATAACATAACAAATAACAGATTAAAAGATTAACAGAGTTCAAAGGGATCTTGTTGGTCATTTAGTCCAAACCCCCCCCCCCCCCCCCAAGCAGGAGACCCGTACCATTTCTGACCAATGGCAGTCCAGTCCCTTTTTGATAGCCTCCAGGGATGAAGCTCCCACAACTTCCGAGGGCAACTTCTGTTCCACTGAATATCGAATAACAGAGTTGGAAGGGACCTTCTAGGTCATCTAGTCCAACCCCCTGCCCAAGCAGGAGACCCCACACCATTTCTGACAGAGGTCAGTCCAGTCTCTTCTTGAAAGCCTCCAGGGATGAAGCTCCCACAACTTCTGAAGGCAACTTCTATTTCATGGGTTGATTGTTCTCCCTGTCAGAAAGTTTCTCCTTATTTTCAGGTTGAATCTCCCCTTGTTCAGTTTCCATCCATTATTCCTTGTCTGGCCTTCGGGTGCCTTGGAAAATAGCTTGACCCCCTTCCTCCTCCTCTCTGGGGCAGCCCCTCAAATATTGGAAGATGCTATCCTGTCTCCCCTGGTCCTTCTCTTCCCTAGACTAGCCAGTTGGATCCTAACAGAATAACAGAGTTGGAAGGGACCTTATAGGTCATCTAGTCCAACCCCCCACCCAAGCAGGAGACCCTACACCATTTCTGACCAATGGCAGTCCAGTCTCTTCTTGAAAGTTTCCAGTGATGAAGCTCCCACAACTTCTGAAGGCAACTTCTGTTCCATGGGTTGATTGTTCTGTCAGAAAATTTCTCGTTTCCAGGTTGAATCTCTCCTTGATCAGTTTCCATTCATTATTCCTTGTCTGGCCTTGGAGGTGCTTTATTGTACCCTATGACTATTATTAAGTGTTGTACCTGATGATTCTTGATGAATGTATCTTTTCTTTTATGGACACTGGGAGCATTTGCACCAAGACAAATTCCTTGTGTGTCCAATCACCCTTGGCCAATAAAGAATTCTATGCTATGCTATGCTATGCTATGCTATGCTATGCTATGCTATGCTATGCTATGCTATGCTACGCTACGCTACTCTACTTTATTCTTCATTCCAATATTTATCTACTCTATTCTAATTTCTATTCTACTCTATTCTTCATTCCAATATCTATTCTATTCTGTTCTATTCTATTCTATTTTATTCTACTCTACTCTATTCTAATTTTTATTCTATTCTTCATTGCAATATTTATTCTATTCTATTCTATTTTATTCTATTTTCTATTCTCGATTCTATTCTATTCTCCCCTGGTCCTTTTCTTCTCTTCACTAGACTAGCCAAGCCCAGTTCCTGCAACCGTTCATCGTATGTTTTAGTCTCCAGTACCCTAATCATCTTTGTTGCTCTTCTCTGCACTCTTTCTAGAGTCTCAACATCTTTTTTTACATCTCTTCTTTGGGGCAGCCCCTCAAATATTGGAAGACTGCTATGTCACCCCTACCCTTCTTTTCCTTAAACTTCACATCTTCTGTCCATCCATGGTTTGCTCAAATGTCTTTCTTTTTTCCTTCCTTCCTTCTTTTTCTTTCTTTCTTTTTTCTTTCTCTTTCATTTCTTTCTTTCTTGTGCTTTGGAAAAATAGCTTGACAATCCCCCCCCCCCCCCGTGGCAGCTGTTGGAAGGCTGCTCTCCTGTCTCCCCTGGTCCTTCTCTTCCCTAGACTAGCCAAGCCCAGTTCCTGCAACTGTTCATCGCATGGTTTAGCCTCCAGTCTGCTAATCATCCTGGTTGCTCTTCTCGGCACTTTTTCTAGTCAACATCTTTTTTACATCTCTTCTTCGTGGCAGCCCCTCAAATATTTGAAGACTGCTATGTCACCCCATCCTTTCCTTAAACTACACGTCTTCTGTCCATCCATGGTTTGCTCAAATGTCTTTCTTTTTTCCTTCCTTCTTCCTTCCTTCCTTCCTTCCTTCCTTCCTTCCTTCCTTCCTTCCTT